CAGCAAATCTTGGACAATTTTCTCAGTGGTTTTGTTTTTCTCTTCCTGTTCTGGAATTCCTATGACACCTAAGTTATTCCTTTTGGTGGTATCCCACATGAACCTTAGGCTTTCTTCATGTTGTTTTTATTTTTTTTCTGATTGATCCTTTTCCAAAGAAGTATTCAGGTATTTGTCTTCAATCTCTTTCATTCTGTCTTACATCTCATCGATTCTTCTCCTTTTCCCTTCCAATATGTTATCTATTTCTGACAATTTAGTATTAATCTTTTGAATTTCTATCTGTAGATTTAGAATCATTTCTAGTTTTTCTACCTCAGTTTGTGTTAGTTTAGGTAGGAAGTGTATTTCTAGAAATGTGTCCATTTCCTCTAGGTTTTAAAATTTGTTGGGGTATAATTTTTTGTTGTATTTCTTACGGTTCTTTTTATTTCAGTTGTTGTTATGTCACTCATCTCATTTCTTATTTGGATTATTTGTTTCTTCTGCTTTTCTTTTGTCAATTTGGCCAGTGGTTTGTCAATTTTATTGATCCTCTCAAAATAACAACTTCTGGTCTTATTAATTCATTCTGTTGTGTTTCCTTTTCATCGTTGTCTGATCTTTATTATTTCCTTTTGTATGGTGGCTGTGGACTTCTTTTGCTGCTCTGTTTGTATTTGTTTGAGTTTTAGGGTTAATGTGTTGATTTTGTCCCTTCTTTTTTGTTATAGCATTTATTATTGTAAATTGACCTCTGAACACTGCTTTTGCTGTGTTCTAAAGATCTTGGTATGTTGTGTTTTCATTCTAGTGATTCTAGGAATATTTTAATTTAATCTTTGATTTCTCCTATTACCCAGAGTACCCATTGATTTTTCAACAAGATGTTACTTTCCATGTATTTGATTTTTTTTTCCTTTGCTCTTTCTGTCATTGATTTACACTGATCCATGGGTCTATGGTGCTAATTGAGTGAAAGGCATGCACAGCCAGTCTGTAGGCCCCCAGTTTGAGGCAGGATGGTGGTTGTTGCCACTGGACTGCATCTGTGTGTGGTAGGATGTGATTGAGGGGAGTGAGATGGAGCACTGCATGTCCTCAGGCCTCTGTTGCAGTGGTTACGAGGGCATGGTCGGGAGGTGAGTGCAGCTAACATTCACACAGTGGGGAGCACTCCTACCTGGCTCTGAATGTGGATGCAGAGTCCCTCCTTCTTGGCTGCACCCAGGGGCTGGGAATGCTGCTTGCTTTGTCTCAGTAGAGCCATACTGTGTAGATTTGGCTGGTTCGGTGGTTGTTGTTGTTAGGTGCCACTGAGTCAGCTCCATCTCATAGGGACCCTATGTACAACAGAATGAAACACTGCCCGGTCTTATGCCAGCCTCACAATCCTTGCTATGCCTTAGCCCATTACTGCTGCTACTGTGTTAATCCATCTTGTTGAGGGCTTTCCCCTTTTTTGCTGAACCTCCTCCACTTTACCAAATGTGATATCCTTCTCCAGGGAATGGTCTCGTGGTAGTTCAGTTTGTGTGTCAACTTGGCTGGGCCTGGTTGAGTGGCTGGGCAGCTGGATGTCGTATTCCCCATGATGAGACTGGTAATCAACTCCATGGTGGAATCTACTGTGAGCAGCTTAGTAGCTGCCTTAGGGAATGTGGTCTGCTTCCTGTGTATAAGAAGCAGCTTTAGGAATGATCTCTAGCCTATGACACGCTTGGACCTTGCATGTAGCTATGTTGTTGCTTAGCAGCCTGATATGCTGTGCCGACCTTGGGACTTACAATGGACTTAAGTTAATGGCCTGCCATGTGATTTAGTAACATTGGGACTATGCCTTTTTACTTGTCAACTTTGGGGCTTCTCAACCTCAGCAGCCAGCAGCTGTCTGAGTGAAGAAATGCCTCTAGCCCCAGTGGGCCGGGAGCAGGAGGCAGAGCTGGACCCCAAGGTTGAGGGGGCTCACCCAGCCCCTAAAGCCTGGCACTTTGAACTTGGACTTAAAGCCTCCAAATTGTAAGAATAAACTCCTGTTTGTTTAAGCCATCCCATATGTGGTATATTCCTGTAGAGCGGCACTAGGTAACCAGAACAGGTCCGTTCTAACAACATGACCAAAGTAGATGAGATGAAGTCTGGCCATTCTTGCTTCCAAGGAAAATTCCAGCTGCACTTCGTTTAGGACAGATCTGTTAGTTCTTATAGCAGTCAGTGGTACTTTCGGTATTCTTCACCAACACCACAACTCAAAAGCATCAACTCTTTGGTCTTCCTTATTCACTATCCAGCTTTCACATGCATATGAGGTGATTAAAAACACTATGGCTTGGGTTAGGCAAACCTTAGTCTTTCAACAGACATCTTTGCTTTCTAGCACTGTAAAGAGTTCTATTGCAGCATATCTTGACTGCTGCTTCCATTGGTGTTGACGGTAGGGCAGCAGTGATCCATAATTCTCTATGTCTGTTTTTGTATAGTGGCTCCTTCCAGCTGTTTGGAGAGGAGTTTCCTTTTGACTAGGCTAGGAAGGGACAGGAGAGAATGGTGCTGGTTCAAATACTATGAACTCTTACCTTTACTATTGGATTTTTGAAGATGTCCTTAAATAGGTGTTTATTCATCTCCTTCTGCCTTAGGATCATTTCTATAGACTTTGTGGCTGATTTTTTTTTTCTTAAATAATTTTTCTCAGTTTCCTGGGGAGCAGATATGTGGAGCCCCTTGCACTATTGTGCTGAAATTTGTCTCCTCATGTGTGGGAGTTTGGCCAGTGCCTCATGTGGCATCTCATAGTGATTCCCACCACACCTGCCTGTGCTGCACATCATCAGCCAACACCCTCTGTGATTGATGTTGTCTCCTGAATCTTCATGTCCTCCCCCTCAGGAACGCACTCCAGGATGCCCTCAGAAGGCTGCTGAGCTTGTTTGGAGAGACACTGAGGGCAGCAATTGCCATAAGAGGTCAGATCAGTGAGCGTGTGGGGCTCTGTCTGGACAGTGTGGGGCCTGCCAGTACAGAGAGCCCACCCAACATGTGGCCAAGCATTGAGTTTCTGTGTTCAGGTGAGCAACTGGTGCCTTCTCATGATGACTTCTGATTGAGTGGCTCCATTTAGAATGCACTGTAGAATGATGGTTGCTTAATATGATTAGTCATTTGTTTTTGCTCAAAAGGCGTGCGTGTATGTGTATATGTGTGTGTGTGTGTGAGAGACAGAGAGAGAAAGGAATGCTGCCTGTTTTCTTAGGTGAGTACTGTCTGGTGTTCTGAGTAGTGTCCTGGAGAGGTAGTGCTGTTGGTCACCTGTGAGTTTTGTGAGGACTTGTGCCCACAGCCTTTAGGTCCCTTTGGAATGGAATGCTGCAAACCAACTGAGAAGGAGGTTGCTGCTGGGACTATTCCCTAGGACATGGGAGGGCTATAAGTGGGAGGCAGCTATTGACCAGGCTCCTCCAGGGCCAGTCTGGGACTATATTGTGGCTGTGACATGAGCTGCTGCCTCCTTATCTCCTCCTGCTGACAGCACTGGAGTAGACCAGCTTAATGGAGGCTTCCCAGCTCCTGTGCAGTGTTCCTTCCTGTTCCTACGATGGGCAAACTTTCTTAGATTTTCTGTGACCTAATTAACGCTGTTTATGTATCGTCTGAAAACCGATAGCTTGGCTTGCTTGCTGTGTAGTGTGTACAGGGTTTTGGGTTTTGTCATTCTGCAGCCCCCACCCTGGATGAAGCCCTACCTGGGCTTGGCATAGCCATGTTAGAGCCCGACGGGATGCCGCCTGAATCTGCGGAGGCATCTGTGGCAGCTGAAATCAGCAGTCATGTGTGCGAGAGCTTCTTTATGAACCCAGAGACCACACTGGAATATGAGCAGCCAGTCAGGAAGGTCTACCAGAGCCTCAGGGTGGCTGTGGACAATCTCCTGGAGATGGCTCTGGACTCCAGCAGACAGGTAAAATGCTGTATGGAGGGGCCTCCCTACACAGTGTCATCTTCCCTCAGAAGGGACTGCGAACAAGGTGCAGGCTCTGTTGGCATCATGTGGGCAAGGTGGAGGGTGACAGCTAGGCTCTAGGCCTGAGGTGGTCAGTGTCTGTCTCCAGGAGGTGGGGAGTCCCACTCTGGCATTTGCTTCTGTTCTGCCCCTCTGCATCTGACGTCTGGGGCGGAGAATGCACTGCCATTTTCAGAGTGCTTATCAACCTTCCACTGCTAACGCTGCTCTTACACATATTTTCCTTTAGGAGGAGTCCTTTCTGCACCAAAATTCTTGAGGTAGGCTTGCTATGAATGACAAACAAATCTCAGTTTAATTTCGGCAATGCTTGAATCAACTCAGTGCTCTGCTGCAATTCCACATTAATATCTTTATATATAGAAATTGTCACTAGGAGAGTTGATTTTTTTTTAACCTTTCTGAAACATTTTGGACAGTTAGGAAAGAAGTAACAGTAACGTGCAAAGCAATAAAGTAAGCAAGACAGCTTTTCTCCAGAGTCAGTTTAAAATAAATGTTTTTATGTGAAGCATTGTTGTCTGGTCCGCAGAAACATTTGATCAAGAGTTTTCTCTCCTCGGCGGTCAGTGGAGCCCATGCAGGTCACAGTTTTGAAATACAAGTTTCTTTCTCTTGTTTCATCCTACTGCCTTTGCTGCACCATTTTCTCTTCATATCCTTCTTTCCCTCCATTCACTTGTTCTTTCCTGATAACTTGGGAATCCACAAGTACCCAGATACTCTAATGTCATTAAAGTGAAATGCCCCTAGCCCCAATGTGTCCAGGGGGGCTGAGTGAGTACAGAGGTGTCCTGGATCTGCACTGCTGTAAGTGTGCTCCATTCATACCAACTGCCCTGTGGCATGTGAGCACCCTGGGGAAGTGGCTACACAGACATAGGGGACGTGGAGAATGTGGAGTATGCAAAGGGAGAGGGCCAAAGAGGTGGCACAGGGAGCATGAAGCATGCCAGGGAAGAGGGCCACAGAGCGGGGTCTAAGGGGTGCCATAGGAGAGGCCACAGAGGGGGTGTGGGGCTGCTGGTATGAGGGCCGAGCTCAGAGAGGCAGCTGTGCCTTGCTGATCTGTAGCTCTGGCTCATGCTCATGGGGAGTAGCCTTGGTAGCACGAATGACAGGCCTGCAGTCAGGCAGCAGATGTGTGAGGTAGCTCATGGGTAGGGTGGGGTGAGAGTGGTGATTTCTAGTAGTGTTTCAAAGGTAGAAACAACAAGATTTCCTTGTAAGCTAGGCCTGGGCTGTCCTGAGTGATAGGGAGACTGAGGGGAGCCCCAGCTCCAAGATTGAGTGCTTCTTAGCCACTGAGTGAGGAAGTGGAGGGAGGAGCATGGGTGTGCTTGCCTGGGGCACAGGGAGACCTTAGGAGAGGGGTCCTGTGCCATGGAAGAGGGAGTAGGGCTTCCATTGGGGTAGGATGTGTATGTTGCTGGTGGCACATGTTGGGGAGCATCTCTGTGTGCTGTGGTGACGTGCCCTCAGTCCCCATTGACCCTATGTGATGTGGGTGATTATAATCAGTGTCCTACTCTCTGTTCCCGTCCCCCATCTCCCCCCAGCATGTCCCTGGTTCTCTGGTGGACGGTTGATCTGTTGCATTTGTTCTTTGAAATGTTTTATATGTATTTATGTACAATTTTTCTTTGAAAATTTGTTTAATGAACATGTTTAATTATTTAGCAATTCACGTAATAATGAACATTGAAATTGTTGTTTCTTATGGAATATTTATGGTTTCATTAGAATTCTACCCCAGCATGGTGGTAATGTAAACTTTGGATATTTTCACTATGCAATTCTGATTTTCAAATGTGTTTTAACAGCTGGAGGAAGCACACCAAATTCATTCTCGCTTTGAGAAAGAATTTAATCATAAAAATGAGGAGACTGCACAGGTCATTAGAAAGCAGAAGGAGCTACTAGACTGCCTCAGCGAGGAGAGTGCGGCAACAGCCACACTCACCCGGGAGCTTCACCAAGCCCAGGGTGAGTGTTGTGAGAGGAAGGGAAGAAAGATGACCACCTCAGGAGGGAGGTGGAAGCAGCCTAATCCTTTTTTTCCCTCCTAATTTCATTTATTTTGTTGTTGTTGTTGAGAATATGCGCAGCAAAACATATACCAATTCAGGTTTCTACATGTACAGTTTAGTGACATTGATTGCATTCTTTAAGTTGTACGACCATTTTCACCTTCCTTTTCTGAGTTGTTCCTCTTCATTAACATAAATTCACTACCCTGTAAGATTCGTACCTAATGGTTTGGGTTACTGTTGTCAATTTGATCCCATATAGGTAGGTCTTAAAAGAGCATAATGCTCAAGGCAGACTTTTTTTTTCAAAAAAAAAAAAAAAACTAGTTAAGCTAAACTATTATTTGGTTTTAAGACGACTTCAGGGAATATTTTTGGCTTAAAATTTAAGGATTATTTCAGGGCAGTAGTTTCAGGGATTCAGTCCATCCTCCAGGGCTCCAGAAAGTCCATGAGAATTTGAAATTCTGTTCTGCATTTTACCCCATTGATCAGGATTCTTCTATGGAGACTTTGATCAAAATGTTCAGTATTAGTAGCTGGATTCTATCTAGTTCTTCTGGTCTTATGCCAGAGGAGGCAGTTGTTCATGGAGGCAGTTAGCCATACATTCCATATTTTCCTCCTGTTCTTGAGTTTTTGCTCTGTTGCTCTAGGAGAATAGAGATCAGTTGTTGTGCCTTGGATGGCCATTTGCAAGCTTTTACAACCCCAGGCACTATGTAATGAACTAGGAGGTAGAACTAAATTACTAACCATGATATTAGGCCAAAGAACTGGGATATCCCGTGAAACCATGACCTTAAACCTAAGAATCAAGGGACCAAGTCCCATATGGTATTTGGTTGTATATAAGCCAAATCACCTACCCTTTGTTTTTTTTTTTTTGTCATTGTTGTAAATATACCTACTCCTCACTTAACCACATGGATAGGTTTCTAAGGCCTGGTTGTCATGTGAAAATCAGCATTGTGTGAAAATGAAAGATGACCACATCAGATCATAAAATGAAGGATGACTACTACATCATTACATTAACTGCCAAATTTCATCATTACTTAACTGCCAAATTACATCATTATATAATTGAAAATAACTAAGTATCATGGTCCAGACACGTTGACACAACCTATATCATCACAGCCAGTGTTACTGTCTACTCACACCTCAGTGTTCATTTTTTTTTCAGTTTGAGTCAAATTTTTTTTTAATTGTGATTTGTGTTTACAGAGGAAATTCACTTTTGATACACCAACTAACATACACTTTGATGACATTGACATAATTTCCCACAATGCACCAGCTTCCCTTCCACTTCTTCCCTATAGTTAACCTCTTCCTTGTGTCTATCCCTCCATGTACTCCTGCCCCCTAAGCTGCCTCCCTGTGGCTACACAGCCCTTCTATTCTCCCATGATTGTTCTCTCCAAGGAGTGTATCTACCTAATGGAAATGTTTACCTCATATGCTTGTCTTTTGTTAGGCTGGAAGCCATAGAAGTGGGTTCAATTCCAGACCTAAAGGGCAGATAGGGGCCATAGTCTCAGTGGTTCCATCAGGCTCTATCAGACCATCAAAGTGGACTTTTTTTTTTTTTTTTTTTAAGTGATTTTGAGTTTTGTTCCACATTGTTCTGCCCTTTATCCAGGATCTCCTATTTGGATGCCCCTCTGAGTAGTTGACATAGGTAGCCGGGCACCATCTAGTTCTTCTGGTCTCTTAGTCGTATAGGATAAGGATAGCATGGTGTCCCAATCACTCGGACTAATTGTTTCCATGAATCATTGGTTTTCTTCATTCTTCTTTCCTCTGGACAAGGAGAGACCCATCGTTGAATCTAGATGGCCACTTGCAAGCTTTTAAGATCCCAGTTGCTACTTGCCAAAGTAGGAGGTGGAAGAATGTTTTGTGTAGTATATTATACCAATTGAGCTTGATGTCTCTTGTGACTATGGTCCCGAGCCCACAGGTCCAACCAACTACTTGCTCCCTTTGGGTAGCTGGCTGTGGCTAAGAAGTGATTACAACCTTGTCCCTTGTCAGCTGTACTATATACCTGAGAATTCTTACAGAACATACCAATATACTTGTAGAAACATTGTCTGCCAACCTTATACATGGTCTTGGGCATGCTCCCCCTTGCAAAGACATACCTAATAGTTCAGCCTGTCTACCCATCTATCCACCCATATATCCATATTTGCCTTCACTGACAATGCAGTACTGTGTGTGCAAAAGGGTTCATCTTTGTTGTCTGTACCTCCCATGCACCTCTCTCTGTCTTCCTCTTCCTCAGTGCCACCATGTATTTCTTTTATACTGCTTAAATATAAAGAAACATAATCCAAACATAAAGGCATCTTTTCTCTGAAATTTACAATTTGTTGTTGTTGTTTGCCATCGACTCAGACCTGACTCATAGCAACCCCTCCTTGGGTTTCCGAGGGAATATCACTACGGAAGTAGATTGCCCAACTTTCCTTCTGAGGAGTGGCTGGTGGGTTTGAACTGCCAGCCTTCTGGTTAGCAGTCAAGTGCCTTAGGCACTACGCTATGAGAGCTCCTAAATTTATGATACAGTCTTTTAATATAAAGCAAAATTAAATATCTACAAGAGAGTAAAATATTTTTACTGACAACTAGGAAATGATTATTCTGGAGAGTTCTGAAGGAAACAGAAATCCTCTGTTGTTTGATTTTGAATCCAGAAACTTAATTTCATTCTTCACCTTATTTTTCCAGATGAATTGAATTTGAATTACATTCATTTTATGGAACATTTCCTGGAGAGGAGTGAAAAAATAAACTTTCCACAAGTGTCCCCCCAAGGGTCCTCAGTATTAGATCAATAAATTACAAATATTTGAAGTGACTCTGCCAAAGTCGTCAGTGGTTTTAGGAACTGGGTCAGCCATGTTGATTTCTTTATTTAGTCTTTTTTTTTTTTTTTAATTGTGATTTTATTATGATTTGGGTGAAGGTTTACAGAGCAAATTCACTTTCCATACAGCAGTTCATATACACTTTGTCTCATGACATTGACTACAGTTTACCACAATACAACAGCTCCCCTCCCACTTCCTCCTCACAGTTACCTCTTCCCAGTGTCCATCCCTCCATGGGCTCCTGTCCCTTGAGCTGTCTCCCTGTGCATAAGCAGCCCTTCTTTCTCCCATGATTGTTCTCCCCAAGGGGTGTATCTACTTGAGATAAATGTTCAACTCATATGCCTGTCTTTTGTTTGGCTGGAAACCACAGGTGTGGGTTCGATTCCAGACCTGAAGGGCAGGTAGGGGCCATAGTCTCAGTGGTTCCATCCAGCTCTATTGGACTTGTTTTGTTTTGTTTTAACTTATCTCTTGTAAACCTTCCTACTTTGAAGGTATTCTGTATCATACTAATGAATTTGATTTTATTACACTCTGCTATGTTGTTGTGTTGTTGTTGTTGTTATGTGCCGTTGAGTCAGACCTGACTCATAGCGACCCCTCCTTGGGTTTCTGAGGCAGTATTACTACAGAAGTAGATTGCCCCATCTTCCTTCTGAGGAGTGGCTGGTGGGTTTGAACTTGCCAGCCTTCTGGTTAGCAGTCAAGTGCCTTAGGCACTGTGCTACCAGAGCTCCCACTCTGCTATATGCTTCCTATATTATAATAAATAGTATCATACCTATGATTATCTCTTACTTCCAATACATGTGATTGGTTCTACTATACTCATACTAAGAATGTATCTACAACATAACAGATCCTCTCATGTGAAGATGTTTTGTGCTTATAAGCATACATGATCCTTTGTGCATGTTTAGTTCAGAAATTATTTCAAGCAATTTAATTTTATGGAAAATTCTGAAATTTAAAGTGGAAATTGATATCTGAAGTGGAAATTCATATGAATTAATATGAAAAGAAACTTCTAGAAAGTTTGCTTTCTTAACTGTTTTGAAATATACATTTGGTACATTGCCCTTCTCTTCACCCAAATCAGTACTTATCTCTACCTATCTAACAGTGTTCCCTCCCCTCCCCTCCTACCTCTGGTAACCAACAAAGAAAATTTCCTTCCATATAGAAACCTTTCCTTGACCTTTTACAATAATGGACTAATACAATATTTGTCCTTCTGTGATTGACTTATTTCACTCAGCATAATGTCCTCTGAGTTCATCCACGTTATGTGGTGTTTTGCAGATTCTACATTATTCTTGAGGGTTGCATAGTATTCCATTGTGTGTATGTACCATAGTTTGGTTATCCATTCCTCTGTTGATGGGCAGCTAGGTTGTTTCCATCTTTTTACTATTGTAAACAGTGTTGTGATGAACATAGGTGTGCATATATCTGTTCTTGTCCTGGCTCTCACTTCCTTAGGATATATACCTAGTAATGGAATGGCTGGGTCAAATGGTATTTCTCATTCAGCTTTTTAAGGAATTGCCATACTGCTTTCCACAGTGATGGTACCATTCGACAGTCCCACCAGCACTGCAAAGTCTCCCAATCTCTTTGCATACTTGCCAGCCATTGTTATTTTCTGTCTTGTTGAACTTCAGTGTTCATTATTGCCAGACTGTTGTTTACGTACAAAACAGTTGCATAGTTGATTTTTTACCGTTGTTGTAAATGTGAAATGTCAGGTAACAAAATAGTTGATAACTGAGGAGTAGTAGTATATTGATACAACTTTAGCCAGTTCAACTTTTTACAGATGTAAAACTTAATGACAGCAATTACACTAATCAGCTGGGCATGCCTACCTTTAATCAATGTGATACTTCCATCACCATTAACTTTCCTTTTCCCTCCTCCCACCCCTGGTAACCACTAAGAAACTCTGGTCTCTGTACATTTGCCTGTTCTTGTCTTTTTACATAAGTGAAATCATATACTATTTGTCCCTTTGTGATTGGCTTATTTTCGCTTCATATGATGTCATCAAGCTCCATCCATACTATTGCATATATCCAGACTTCATTTCTCCAACTGGCTGAGTAGTATTTCATTGTATGTAGGTACCCCATTTTGTTTTTCTGTTCATTTGTTGATGGGCATTTAGGTTGTTTCCACCTTTTGGCTATTGTGAATAGTTCTGCAATGAAGATTGGTATATAAAAGAAAGTCTTTTTAGTCTCTGCTTTCAAGTCTTTTGGGTATATACCTAGAAGTGAAATTGCTGGGTCATTTGGTAGTTCCCTTTTCAGTAAGAGTTCCGATTTCCCCACAATCTCACCAACATTTATTTTCTGATTTTTTTTTTTTTCCTCAGCCATCCGAGTGGGAGTGAAATGGTATTTCATTGTAGATTTCATTGTGGTTTTGATTTGCATCTCTCTGACTGCTAATTACACTGAATATCGTTCATGTTTGGTGGTCATTTGAAAGTCCTCTGGTGAAATGTTTGTTCAGATCTTTTGTCCATTTTATGATTGAATTATTTGTCTTTTTCTTGTCAGAGTTATATATATATTTTGGTTATTAGATTATAGTCAGATACATGGTTTCTGAAGGTATTTTTCCACTTAGTAGCTTGTCTTTTCAGTTTTTTTGGTAAAATCTTCAGGTGAACAATAGTTTTTTTTTTTTTTTTTTTAATTTTTATGAGATTGTATTTACTTGTCTCTTGCTGTTGGTGCTTTTGTTACTGTATTTGATAATCCATTGTTGAAAGCTAGGCCTGACAGCATTACACCTGCTTATTCTTCTAAGAATTTTAATTTTAGTTTGCAATGTTAGGTTGTTAATCCATTTTGAATTTGTTTTTGTGTATGGTGTGAGGCATAGATTCTATTTCATTTTTTTGCATGTGGAAAGTGGAAATCTAATTTTCCTAGTGCCATTTATTAAGGAGCTCTGGTAGCATGGTGCCTAAGGCACTTGACTGCTAACCAGAAAGCTGGTGGTTCAAACCCAAGCCACTCCTTGGAAGGAAGGTTGGGCAGTCTACTTCCGTAGTGATACTGCCTCGGAAACCCAAGGAGGGGTTGCTATGATTCAGATCCAGCTTGATGGCACATAACAACAACAACAAGTGCCATTTATTAGAGAGACTTTTTTTACCCACTGAAAAGCCTTAGTACCCTTGTCAAGAATCAGCTGACCGCAACTGTGTGGTTTATTTCTGGGTTCTTAATTCTGTTCCATTCGTCTGTGTGTCTACTGTTAGACCAGTGCTAAGTATATTATATACTGTAGCTATATAAAAAAACCAAACCAAATCTACTGCCATTGAGTCGATTCTGACTCATCGCAATGCTCATTGGGTTTCCAAGGCTATAAATCTTTATGGAAGCTGACCACCTCCTCTTTCTTTCACAGAACAGCTAGTGGGTTTAAACTACCAGCCTTTTGGTTAGCAGCCAAATGCCTTAACCACTATACCAGCAGACCTCCTTACTGTAGCTATGTAGTACGTTTTAAAATGAGAGAGTATGACTTATACTTTGTTCTTCTCTTTGTACTTTGCTTTAGATATTCAGAGCTCAGAGCAGCATAATTCTTCATTAGAGTGTAAAACCAGTCATGGCAACATGAAACAAAGTACATGTGAACTGCTGTATGCAAAGTAAATTTGCTCTGTAAATCTTCACCCAAATCACAATAATAAAATAAATTTAAAAAAACCCAATCATGGCAAGTGTTGTGTGCCATGTAGTCTTCATTAGCTAGATGTGGAGGCACATGTGGGAGGACCTTCACATCTTTGGGGGCAGTTTGTTTCTCTGTTGTGAATTCCCAGGCAGCAGGCCGGTTTCCAGAGCCTTCTGGAACTTGGCAGGATGGATTTTCAGCCTACTTGGCCCTGACAGGATGGATTGTAAGTCTCCCTGGCCCAGAGCAGGTGTGGGGTCCAGGGCTTCACCAGGAAGCCATGCTTTCTGTTGTTCCTGTTCTTGCAAGGGCCTGAGCTGGGCTGAGACTTAATGTGCTGGTGATGAAGGGGGAGGTCCAGTACTGAAAGGAGGCTGGTCTGGTAGCCTGACCAGGCATGGGTCTGGGTGTGTGGGTAGCATTTTGGGACACCAGCTCGCTGGTGGCATGGTATCTTCTCCATGTCCCAGTTCCCTCCCTGGCTACTGTCCACCATGTAGCAGAGCTTGTTTTTGGGTGGGCGTCTGCCTCACCTGGTCTCCTTTGCAGGCCTCATTGAGGGGTTCAAAGAAGAGAGGGCTGAACTGCAGGTGGCGCTGGACAAGAAGGAGCAGTCGGAGCAGCGTCTGGTCTTAGAACTGGAGCAACTGAGCTGGCAGCTCCAGGAGGCAGCCCACGAGCAGATGCGGCTGAAGGAGGAGTGTACCGCCCTGCTGAACCAGAAGGAGGCACTAGCTGCCAGCGCACAGGAGAGAGAAGCTGGTAAGAGATACTGGCTTTTGAGCCATGAGCTTGCAGACTGCCAATATAGGTGTCAGACTGCTTTGTGAATTCTGAACATTGTTAATCAGTAAACCTGTTTCAAAGCCCAGAAATATGAGTCAGTGCAGTTTGTGTGTATGTGGGTGCAAGTGCAAATGTGTGCATGCTTGGTGCATGTGTGTATATACATGTATGTGAGCGTGTGTGATTTTGTCCTTCCGCTGTCTCTCCTTGAGGGAGCTACGAGCTCCTCTGATACGATGTGGATATGATGGCCTTTGGCTGGGCCCTGCTGCACATATGCCTGGTTTGTCTTGCCTAGTAGTTGTAAGAATGAGAATAATTACCAACGACATTTGAGTGTCAGCTTTATGTCCTGGGAACCCTGGGCCTACATCCCTGTGGTGGCCTGTGGCCCTCAAAGTGGCCTTGACCTTGGGTCACACTGACCTGTCAGCCAGGCCTTGTCCCAGTTCCCCCTACAACCCACTGCAGAAGGTCTTCAGGCCACACCCCCCCTATGTGAGGCCTGATGCCCATGAGGCCTTCCTGCCCCAGGTGGTGGTATCCTGTGTTTTAGGGTTCACCTTTTTATTTTTGCTGCATGTGTCATCATTGTATAACTGATAGTTGGAAATGCCTGCCCAAGGGTTGCAACTGCCCTTTTTCCTCCATTGTCCCATTTAACAGTTGATGCCAAAGTCCTAGAACAGGGGCACAGAGGGTGGCCCATGCGAACGTGCATGTCTGGAAATTATCTGATGCCAAATACTGCCCAGAGTCTTGCTACTGATGCTCTCCCTCCTCTTATTTCTGAATTTTAGTGTTCCAGGTCGTGCATTCTTCGATGTTTATCTCTGTAAATGTTTGTATATTTTGATTCATAGGCATTCCTGTCACTGTAGCACAAAAGGATTCAGGTTTGTAAAACGAGTGAGTGATTTCTCTGTGACGTATGTGCTTCATGCCTGCTTCAGAGTTTGCAGACTGTTACACTGAAGAGAGAAGTTCTTCAGAATGTTTGTGGCAGGCCATAATACCTTTAAATGTCATGATGCTTTAGACTAAGGAGTTCATTATGCTCCAAAGAAATGCAAGCATTGCTGTAAGAGTACTTGCCTCTGTCACTAAGCTGTAGTCTATGCATGCTGTTTATAGGCATTCATGTCTGCAGTGGGTGCTGCAGAGTTCTAATGTGTGGTGGCAGAAGGCTATGGCCTGAGCTGTAGTAATCCCTTGGATATGTGTGGTGTCTTAATGATTTTGCTTGAGCATGTGTGCCTGTTGATGTTTGGTAGGAGGTGATATAGCCTTCCTTGAGCAGAGGGAAGCTTCATCGGCTCGAAGCTGATGCAGCAACTATAAGGCGCTTCTTAGGACTATGATTTCACACCCTGAGGAACTGCATATAACATCTCTATAGCTGCATGTTTAGTGCTACGTTACCATCATTAATTGCTGGTTATTGGCATGAATATTTACAAAAAATGTTATAGTAGTGGTATTGATAGTTTGACATAGGTTTTTTTTTTCTATTTTTAAAAATATAATTTATTTCTTGTTGTTGAGAATATACATTGCAGAATATACACTAATTTAATTTCTACATGTGCAGTGCAGTGACACTGATTACATTCTTCAAGTTCTGTAAATTTTTTTTTTTTAATTGTGATTTGGGTAAAAGTTCACACAGCAAATTCCCTTTCCATGCACCAGTTCACACATACGCTGTCTCATGACATTGACTACGATTTACCACAATGCAACAGCTCCCGTCCCACTTCCTCCTGATAGTTACCTCTTCTTGTGTCCATCCCTCCATGCACTCCTGCCCCCTGAGCTGTCTCCCTGTGTATAAACAGCCCTTCTTTCTCCCATGATTGTTCTCTCCAAGGAGTGTATTTACCTCAGGTAAATGTTCAACTCATATGCCTGTCTTTTGTTTGGCTGGAAGCCACAGGTGTGGGTTCAATTCCAGACCTAAGGGGCAGCTAGGGGCCATAATCTCAGTGGTTCCACCAGGCTCTATGAGACCAGCAAACCTGGTCACCCTTTTTTTTTCCCAAATGATTTTGAGTTTTGTTCTACATTGTTCTCCCTCTCTATCCAGTATCTCCTACACAGATCTTCCTCCAAGTGGTTGACAGTGGTAGCTGGGAACCATCTAGTTCTTCTGGTCTCCTAATCGTATAGGTTGAGGATTGCATGGTGTACCAGTCACTAGGACTAATTGTTTCCATGAATCTTTGGTTTCCTTCATTCTTTTTTGCTCTGGATGAGGAGAGACCTATCATTGCATCTAGATGGCTGCTTGCAAGCTTCTAAGATCCCAGTCACTACTCACTAAAGTAGGAGGTGGAAAAATGTTTTGTGTAGTATGTTATGCCAGTTGAGCTTGATGTCCCCTGCGACTACGGTCTCGAGCCCACAGGTTCAACTACTCCTTCCCTCTGGGTAGCTGGCTGTGACCAAGAAGTGACTACAACCTTATCCCTTGTCAGCTCTACTGTACACCTGGGAATTCTTATAGAACATACAAATACACTTGTAGAATTCTTGTTTGCCAACCCTATACATGGTCTTGGGTACAGACACCTCTGCATAGACATACTTAATAGTTCAGGCTCTCTACCCTTCTATCCACCCATATACCCATGTTAGCCTTCACTGACAGTGCAGTACTGTATGTGCAAAAGAGTTCATCTTTGTGGTGTGCACCTCCCATGTAGCTCTCTGTGCCTTCCTCTTCCTCAGTGCCACCATGTTGATCACTCACATTTGGTACATTGCCTTTCTCTTCACCCAAATCAATACTTATCTCTGCCTATTTAAGAGTGTTCCCACCCCTCCCTTACCACCCCTGGTAACCAACAAAGAAAATTTCCTTCTGTATAGAAACCTTTCCTTAACTTTTACAATAACGGACTAATATAATATTTGCCCTACTTACTGTGATTGACTTATTTTACTCAGCATAATGTCCTCCAAGTTCATCCTTGTTATGCGGTGTTTTGCAGATTCTACATTACTCTTTAGCACTGCATAGTATTACATTGTGTGTATGTACCATAGTTTAGTTATCCATTCCTCAGTTGATGGTCATCTTGGTTTCCACCTTTTGGCTATTGTAAATAGTGCTGTGATGAACGTGGGTGTGCATATGTCTGTTCCTGTCATGGCTCTCACTTCTTTAAGATATATACCTAGTACTGGAATGGCTGGGTCAAATGGTAATTCTAATTCCCACTTTTTAAGAAATCTCCATACTGCTTTCTACAGTGTTTGTACCATTTTACAGTCCCACTAGCAGTGTACCAGAGTCCCAATCACTCTGCATCCCCACCAGCATTTGTTATTTTGTGTCTTGTTGAACTTTGCTACTAGTGCTGGGGCAGGATGGTATCTCATTGTTCTTTTGATTTGCATCTCTCTAATGGCTAATGATTGTGAACATTTCTTCTTGTTTGTTGGCTGCCTGAATATCCTCCTTGGTGAAATGTTTATTTATGTCTTCTGCTCATTTTTTTAAATGGATTATTGGTCTTTTTCTTATTGAGGTGTTAAGAGTTTTCTATAAATTCTAGAGGTAAGTCCCTTGTCAGATATGTTATTGCCAAATATTTTTTCCCAATGTGTAGGTTCTCTTTTGACTCTTTTGGAGAAGTCTTTGGAAGCACATAAAAATTTAACTTGTAGAAGGTCCCATCCATCTAATTTATCTTATGCTATTTGTGCATTTTGGGTTATGCTTGATAGTCTATTTATGTCATATGTTGTTGTTGTTGTTGTTATTTGCCATCGAGTCGGCCCCGACTCATAGCGACCCCTCCTTGGGTTTCCGAGGCAGTATCACTACCCAAGTTGGAATGCCCAACCTTCCTTCCGAGGAGTGGCTGGTGGGTTTGAACCGCCAGCCTTCTGGTTAGCAGTCAAGTGCCTTAGGCACTATGCTAC